GGTGGCGTCCGGTGCGGTCTTGGACGGGGCGGCACGAGCGAGCAGCCGGCGCGGCCAGGTCCGGCCGCGAGCAGCCGGCGCGGGCGCGGACGGGGCGGCGCGGTGGTGGCCAGGCACGGTCTCAGACGGCTAGGCGCGGGCAACAGGTCCGGCCGCAAGCAGCAGGAGCGGGGGCGGACGGGGCGGCACAGTGGCGGCCATGCGCGGGCGCGGTGATGACGACGGCCTCGCTTGGGAGGCTCCACGGCTGGAGAGTTTTTCATCCTCAGTCTAAAATTCTCGCCGGCAGCCCCCCAGGCGGCGAAAAAAATGCCTCCTGGGGGGCTCAACGGCTGGAGATGCCCTTAGTAATGCATGTTCTAGATGTTGGTCTCAAATTCTTCCTTATTGCTATCCATTGCACATGCTAAGCATTGTATGTTTAGTTGTACATCCAAGTTTCTGAGCTAAAGTTTCACTATACGTACCTACTATATGGTGGCAGGAAAATAAGATTCCAAGTAAATTATCGTCGTCATTGCAAGTACAAGTTTTTAGAGCCATGTTTCACCGTTCATGTGGTTGGTGGAATTCTACCATATGCATTTTTCACCGAAGTTTTAAAAATGGTACTCCCAATGGTACTCCCACGAAAATACTTGTCATAGAAATGGATATAAATGAATGTATCTAGAACTAAAATATATCTAGATACATTCATTTCTCGGACAAGTATTTCCGGACGGAGGAGTAATAGCCAACAAGGGAGAATATGTGGGCACACATAACCCAATCAAAACCAAATGAAATAAAAGCAAGTGGGGTAAACCTTGCTATGGCGGAAGAACAAAAAGACGTGGGCGAAACCCCACAATTAAATGGAAAAACAAAAATGCTAGCATTACTAGGACCGATGATTGGATTCTTGGAACCTGCTGCATGGGCAAGCATGCATGAGGTTGTTGGTGAAATTGGTGATTTTCTTTGCTTTGAGGCATGCATTTCCATTGGATACCAAGTCCTGACTTTGTATTATTATTATTATTATTATTATTATTATTATTATTATTATTATTATTATTATTATTATTATTATTATTATTATACTTCCTTTGTTTTTAAATATAAATCTTTTTAGAGATTTCAATATGAACTAGATACGGAGCAAAATAAGTGAATCTACACTTTAAAATATGTTTATATACATCTGTATGTAGTCTTATTAAAATATCTGAAAAGACTTATACTCCATCCATTCGGAATTACTCGTCCAAAAAATGAATGTATCTAGATGTATTTTAGTTGTAAATACATTTATTTTTATAACAAATAATTTCGAATGGAGGGAGTATTTAGGAACCGAGGGAGTAATTTGCTTGTGGGGTGCTCATGCATGTGCATGATCGGTGGCCAGCCACCAAGTCTTGCATTGCATAGATGGCAGCAACAGTGCCGGCCCACATCCTTGCTTTCATTTGTCGAGTCATGCCGACAGGACAATCATGCATGCATGCATGTATCATCACAAACTGTCGGGTGCACTTCTGTATATAAACACACGTGTATACAGTGAACATGAACACTCTACCAGGAAGCACGCCAATGAAGCATCTCCCACAGCGGAACTAAGGCCAACTCCAGCGGCGCGACCCCATCCTACCCGGGTGCGTCCGTTTGGTATAAAACGGACAAATCAGACGGCCCAACACGCGGGCGTAAACGGATTTTTGTCCGTTTTATGACCACTTTCGACCCATCCAGGATCCAAGTTTGGGCCGTTTTTGGGTGAAACGGACAGCGCGCGGACGAGCGGGACGCGCGCGCTTGTCCTTCCCTGGCCCGCTCATTGGTGGCACAAAGCACCACCCCGGCGCCCCATTTCGCGTCATTTCCCCCCAAACCACATCCCGCCAACCACCCTTCCCGTCCATGGCCGACGCCCCACCGAATTGGCGGCCAGGCCGTCGACCCGCCCCGGAAAGGTGAAGAAGAAGGCGGCCAAGGGTCCAAGGAAGCCGCGGTCGGAATGCACGCCGGCAGAGCTCGCAAAGATGGACGTGGAATCGGCGAAGAGAAGATGTCCTCCATCGACTATACCCTGCTATAAATGACGTTTCAAGTAAATTGTCATCGTCGTTGTTGAGTACAAGTTTCATTGTTCATGGTTGGTGGAGTGTACCATATGCATTTTTCATGAAAGTTTTAATAATGGCACTAGAGACTTAACGAGCAAATGAAAACAAAGGGAAAAGATGTGGGCACAATCACACCAAAGCAAGTGAGCAATGGTATTTACGTCACTAGTAGAAAACAAGGCTTTGGTTGAGGCATGGGTAAGGGCATTAATCCCGGTTCACTCACGAACCGGGACCAAAGGGGGCATCAGTCCCGGTTCGTAAGACCAGGGCGCTGGCCGGGCCTCGGGGGCCATTGGTCCCGGGAGAGGTGTTATTTTGGCCGCCTGCATCTCAATCATTCAATGCATTGTACCCTATCCCATCCTAGGGAGTAAGTATTACTAATAATGATCTTGCGTGTTATGGAGACGTTGCTCTTTTTACCATAGAAGATGTCCTCCATCCACTATACCCTGCTATAAACAACGTTTCAAGTAAATTGTCATCGTCATTGTTGAGTACAAGTTTCATTGTTCATGGTTGTTGCAGTGTACCATGTGCATTTTCCATGAAAATTTTAATAATGGCACTAGCGACTTAGCGAACAGATGAAACAAAAGGGAAAAGATGTGGGCACAATCACACCAACACAAGTGAGCAATGCCATTGTACGTACCTGTCTTACAAAAAACTTTACGCTCCGGTTCAATTTTGATGACGGTTGGTTAAAAGAAGAGGAGCTTCGACGAATTTGTCGACGTGCAGACCTGCCGTTGCGGCGGATGTAAGTTGAGCTGAGCATGCATTCCAATCATTCAATGTATCCTACGGAGTTAGTAATGCATGTTCTTGGTCTTAGATTCTTCCTTATTGCTATCCATTGCACATAGTAAGCATTGTATGTTTAGTTGTACGTCCAAAATTTTGAGCTAAACTTCCACTATACCGACCTATATGGTGGCAGAAAACAAAATATATCCAAGTAAATTATCATCGTCATCGCAAGTACAAGTTTATTGAGCCTTGTTTCATTGTTCGTGTGGTTTGTGGATTGTACCATATGCATTTTCCAGGAAAGTTTTAATAATGGTAGTGGCGAGCCAATGAAAATATGTGGGCACGCACAACCAGACCAAAACAAAATGAGATAAAAGCAAGTGGGGTAAACCTTGCCATGCGAAGAACACAAAGAAGTGGACAAAACCCCACCATCAAATGGAAAACAAAAATGCTAGTAGCATTACTAGGACCAATGATTGGATTCTTGGGGGCAAGCATGCGTGAGGTTGTCTGCGAAAATTATGATTTCCTTTGCAAACTGGAGAACTAATGCTCCAACTTGTAAGGGAGAAGAGAGGTGGCATTAGCAGTGGCTATAATGAGAATGTTTTGTTGCTTTTTTGGCGTCTTTAAATATTTTTTTTTCGAAACGGAGGCAAAAGCTTTGCCTCATCGATTAATTAAGAAGAAGATTATTGCCCAGTTAATGAAGGGAAAACCGGGCGAAAACCAATACAAACTT